GGAGGCCTTTGGGGCCGTCTTGGAGGCCTCTTGGGGGCTTCGTGGGCCGTCTTGGGCCATCTTCAGGCTATCTTAAGCCGTCTTGGGTACATCTTGGGCAGTCTTGGAGGCATCTTGGGGCCCTCTGAGCCGTCTTGGAGGCCATTTTGGCCGTCTTGGAAGCATCTTGGCCGTCTTGGAGGCCGTCTTGGGGCCGTCTGGGGCAGGAAAACGGTTTGGAACCACCTCTTCCGGGTGGCCGGCGGGACGGGCCGAAGCCCCAGGGGGAGTTTTTTTGGAATTACCCTGGCGACGTACCCAACCCCTGCGGAATGCGGGGCATGAGTAGCTTGGGAGACGTTATACGGAGGTGATGACGTGGCATGGGCGCATATACTTCTGCGAGCGGCATTCGTGAGGCTCGCAGCCCCCCAAGGATTGCGATGTCTCGCTTGGATCTGCCTGGTGCCTCGCTCCGCTGAACCCGCCACCAGCCTTCGAAAGTTGCAGCGGTTTCGCAGATCGCATCCCCCCAAGGACGGCGAGGCCCCGCTCAGATCTGCGCGGTGCCTCACTCTGCTGGACCCACCAGTAGCCCTCGAAAGTGGGGACAATCTCGCAGATCGCAGCCCCCCAGGCACGGCGAGGTCCCGCTCAGATCTGCGCGGTGCTTCACTCCGCAGGACCCACCAGCAGCCCTCGAAAGTGGCGACAGCTTCGCAGATCGCAGCCCATCAGGGACGGCAAGGTCCGCTCAGATCTGCGCGGTGCCTCACTCCGCTGGACCCACCAGCAGCCCTCGAAAGTGGCGACAGTTTCGCAGATCGCAGCCCCCCAGGGACGGCGAAATGCCGCTCAGATCTGCGAAGTGCCTCACTCCGCTGGACCCGCCAGCAGCCTTCGAAAGTGGCGACAGCTTCGCAGATCGCTATGCTGGCCGCCCAAGCAGCCCTCGAAAGTGGCGACAGCTTCGCAGATCGCAGCCCCCGCAGGCACGACGAGGTCTTGCTCAGATCCGCGCGGTGCCTCACTCTGCTGGACCCACCAGTAGCCCTCGAAAGTGGGGACAATCTCGCAGATCGCAGCCCCCCAGGCACGGCGAGGTCCCGCTCAGATCTGCGCGGTGCTTCACTCCGCAGGACCCACCATCAGCCCTCGAAGGTGGCGACAGTTTCGCAGATCGCGCCCCCCAGCACGGCGAGGTCCCGCTCAAACTCCGCAGGACCCACCAGCAGCCCTCGAAAGTGGCGACAGTTTCGCAGATCGCGCCCCCCCAGCACGGCGAGGTCCCGGCTCAGAATCCGCGCGGTGCCTCACTCAGCACGGACCCACCAGCAGCCCTCGAAAGTGGCGACAGTTTCCAGATCGCATCCCCCCAGGCACGGCGAGGTCCCGCTCAGATCTGCGCGGTGCCTCACTCCGCAGGACCCACCAGCAGCCCTCGAAAGTGGCGACAGTTTCGCAGATCGCAGCCCCCCAGGCACGGCGAGGTCTTGCTCAGATCCGCGCGGTGCCTCACTCCGCAGGACCCACCAGCAGCCCTCGAAAGTGGCGACAGCTTCGCAGATCGCAGCCCCCCAGGCACGGCGAGGTCTTGCTCAGATCCGCGCGGTGCCTCACTCCGCAGGACCCACCAGCAGCCCTCGAAAGCGGCGACAGCTTCGCAGATCGCAGCCCCCCAGGCACGGCGAGGTCTTGCTCAGATCCGCGCGGTGCCTCACTCCGCAGGACCCACCAGCAGCCCTCGAAAGTGGCGACGGCTTCGCAGATCGCAGCCCCCCAGGCACGGCGAGGTCTTGCTCAGATCCGCGCGGTGCCTCACTCCGCAGGACCCACCAGCAGCCCTCGAAAGTGGCGACGGTTTCGCAGATAGCGCCCCCCCAGGACGGCGAGGTCTACCTCAGATCCGCGCGGTGCCTCACTCCGAAGGGCCCACCAGCAGCCCTCGAAAATGGCGACAGTTTCGCAGATCGCAGCCCCCCAGGGACGGCGAGGTCTACCTCAGATCCGCGCGGTGCCTCACTCCGCAGGACCCACCAGGACTCGAAAGTGGCGGCAATTTCGCAGATCGCAACCCCCTAGGGACGGCGAGGTCTACCTCAGATCCGCGGCGGTGCCTCGGAGCGCAGGACCCCACCAGCAGCCCTCGAAAGTGGCGACAGTTTCGCAGATCGCAGCCCCCCAGGACGGCGAGGTCTTGCTCAGATCCGCGCGGTGCCTCACTCCGCAGGACCCACAGGCAACCCTCGAAAGTGGCGACAGTTTCGCAGATCGCAGCCCCCCAGGCACGGCGAGGTCTTGCTCAGATCCGCGCGGTGCCTCACTCCGCAGGACCCACCAGCAGCCCTCGAAACTGGCGACAGTTTCGCAGATAGCGGCCCCCCAGGCACGGCGAGGTCTTGCTCAGATCCGCGCGGTGTCTCACTCCGCAGGACCCACCAGCAGCCTTCGAAAGTGGCGACAGTTTCGCAGATCGCAGCCCCCCAGGGACGGCGACCACAGGGGGGGCTGGAGGAGGACGCGACCACATCCCTCTATTCGAAACGAATACCCAACCAAGGAGGGTTGGGGAAAAAAACCAAAACCAGAAGACATCTCGTCCGGCACGCCAGGCATCTCTGCGATGAATCGACATGGTGGCGGCGGATCTAAGACGCCTACGGCGAATCACCGCCGCCCCCTGCCTTTTTGGAAGCGCCTAGGTGGCCGAACGTTGAGGCCAGACCTGCCAAGCCATCGGACCATGTGTTCCCCGAATCGGTTTGGAAAGCCTTCGGGGAACACGTGGGCATCTTGAAGGTCATCTTGGCCGTCTTGGAGGCCTCTTGGGCGATCTTTCGGCGATCTTTGGGGGCTCTTGGGCCGTCTCGGGCCGTCGGAAGGCCGAAAAGAAGGAAATGTCAAAATCCGTCAAAAACCTAAGGAAAATCAATGTTTTTGGCCTCTTCTGGCCTTCCTGGAGGCCCTCTTGGGGGCCTCTTGGGCCGTCTTGGGCCAGCTTCGAGCCAACTTCGGCCATCTTGGTGGGTTCCTGGCACGTCTGACGCCGTCGGGAGCCGTCTTGGGGGCCTTTCTGGGCCGACTTGGGGCCCTCCTGGGGCGCTTCGGGGCTGTCTTGGAGGCCATCTTGGGCGTCTTGGAGGCCATCTTGGCCGTGTTGGAGGCCACTTGGGCCGTCTTGGGGCCCTCTTGGGGCCATCTTGGAGGCCACTTGGGCCGTCATGGGGCCCTCTTGGGGGCCTCTTGGGCGATCTTGGGGGCCTCTTGGGCCGTCTTGACCCGTCGGAATGCCGAGAAGAAGCAAATTCCAAAATCCTTCAAAAACCTAAGGAAAATCTGCCTCTTCGGGACCTCCTGGAGGACCTCTTGGAGGGCTCTTGGGCTGTCCTTGAGGCCTCTTAGGGGCCTCTTGGGCCGCCTTGGGCCATCTTGAGGCTATCTTAGGCCGTCTTGGGTACATCTTGGGCCGTCTTGGAGGCATCTTCAAGCCATCTTAGCCGTCTTGGAGGCCATCCTGGCCGTCTTGGAGGCCATCTCGAGCCATCTTGGAGGATTTTTTGCGGTCGTTGAGCTCGTTTCCGGGCCTTCCGCGGCCCCGGCTGGGAAAAAAAACAAAACCAAAACCGAGAGGATTTGGCACGCCGGGCACCCCTTTGCTGAAGCGGCAGGGGGCTGCGGATCCTAGTGGCCTTCACCCCATCCCGCCACCGTGCCAGGGTTGTGGGTCTGAGGCCTCTTGTATATGTGTTGGGGTGTCGTGGGGAGCCTCTCGGGGACCTCTTGGGGCATCATGGGGTATATTTTGGACCTCTTGCAGGCCTCTTTGGTGCGTCTTGGGCGCCTCTTGGGGCCTCTTGGAGCCTCCTGGGGACTTCTCGGGGCTTCTCGGAGCGCTTCTTGGGTCATCTTGGAGCCTTCTTGAAGGCGTCTTGGACTGTCTTGGGGCGGTCTTGGGAGCTTCTTGAGCCATCTTGGAGCGTCGGAAAGCCGAAAATGCGAGAACCCCAAGATCCTCCAAAAACCTTGAGGAAAATCGTCGATGTTGGCCTCTCGGGGCTCTCTTGGGAGGCCTCTTGGAGCGCTCTTGGGGCCTCTGGGAGCCCTCTTGGGCGTCTTGGAAGTTTGTGGCCTCGGGGACGTGAATACAGTGTAATTTACGAGGGTTTGTTGCCTCAGGGACGCGAACATTCGGGGGCGCGAGTCTCACGTATTTTTGCGTGTCCCACGCCCCCCTCCTGGAATTCAGGCAACGCGATTTGGCCGTGGTGCAGTTATTGGTTTGGGGTTCCCCCCCCCTCGCGCGGACTTCAACAGTTTACAGTAGGAAGCAGAAAGCAGGACTGAAACATTGGAGACTTGAAACTGGAATTGGCGCAGGGAGCAGCAACCTAACCCTACAACCTGATGGACCTACAAGGGGGCCAGCGGATTTCCACCGCCATGTCACGGCATGCACTGCAATGCTATGTGGTGTTCCACTGTGCGATGCCATGATTTCAGCTGCAATGCTAGGATACGCCGTGCTTGACTACGCAGTGCCACGCCATGCTATGCCATGCTACGCTTTGATCTTCAACGCCGTGCTATGCCATGTTCTGTTCTGTGCCGCTGTGCGATGCCGTTCTTTGCGTTGCAATGCTTCGTGATACAATTCTTCACTACGCAACGCCACGCCATGCGATGACACACTACGCTCTGCCGTGGGCTTCTACGCCCTGTTATGCCGCGCTCTACGATGCATCGCGCACCCTCTCGGGATCGTTGACCTGCTCGACATCCGACTGCGAATAGAGGCGATCTACGTCATGGCAAGGGATGGGAGGAAGGGGCAGGACGTCAGACAGGACGCGAGCGCACCCAGCTTGCCCCCTGCCCCCTCGCCCCTCCCCCGCCCGGCCGCCTCGCCCCTCCCCCTCCGCGCCCTCCCCCCCCGGGGCCTCCGGCCTCCTGCCTCCGCCCGCCTCCCGCCTCCCGCCCCCTGCCTCCCGCCTCCGCCGCTCCGCCCGCGGCGGACGGCGGAGGCATGCCCATGCAGCCCAGCGGCGAGATGGCGGTCCAGGCCGGGTGCGGCGCTGGCGGTGTCGGCGGCCGACCCCGGGCCCGGTGGTGGCGCCGCGTTGTCCTCGGGTGTTGGCCCCTCGTTGTCCTTCTCCGCATTCCTTCGGCAGAGGGGGGGGAATGGGCGGGAGGAGGGAAGGGGCAAAGGCAGGGAGAGGGAAGGCGAATGGGGGAGGAGAAAGAAGGGAGGAGCGGGAGAGAGGGAGGCGGCAGGAAAACGAGGTAGGGGTAGCAGGGGTGCAGGGAGTGAGGAGGGATGCGGAATGAGGTGTTGTGGTCGAAATTGTATTAGTAGTATTCGCATTCGTATTCGTATTTGTATTCGTATTCGTATTCGTGTTCGTATTCGTATTCGTGTTCGTGTTCGTATTCGTATTCGTATTCGTATTCGTATTCGTATTCGTATTCGCATTCGCATTCGTATTCGTATTCGTATTCGTATTCGTATTCGTATTCGTATTCGTTTTCGTTTTCGCATTCGTATTCGTATTCGTATTCGCATTCGTATTCGTATTCGTATTCGTATTCGTATTCGTATTCGTATTCGTATTCGTATTCGTATTCGTATTCGTATTCGTATTCGTATTCGCATTCGCATTCGTATGCGTATTCGTATTCGTATTCGTAGTAGTAGTGGTAGTAGTAGTAGCAGTAGGAGCAGTATTATTATTATCATTATTAGTATTATTATTATTAGTAGTAGTAGCAGTAGTAGTAGTAGCACTAGCAGTAGCAGTAGCAGTAGCAGTAGCAGTAGTAGTAGTAGTAGTAGTAGTAGTAGTAGTAGTAGTAGTAGTAGTAGTAGTAGTAGTAGTGGTAGTGGTAGTAGTAGTAGTAGTAGT